ACGTTCAAGAAATGGCTAAGAAGCAAAGAGCCTTTAACTCGCTTGCGATATGTCAAAGCATGCAAGGCGGCAGCAAAAGCAGTGGCGAAAGTCAAAGATGATTCCTGGAAGAACTTCGGTTAGGCTTTGGAGTCCAATTTCCACACGGCAAACAAGGAATTCTGGCAGACCGTCCGCCGCCTGGGAGGTGAAAACAAGGGCAGTCAAAGAGTCCTGAAGGATAAATGTGAAAACCCTCTTACTATGAAGAGGATATACTCCAGTGATCGAGAGAATTCTTTGAGTAACTCCGTCACCCAGAACAACCGCAAGAAGACTCATCTGATGCGCAACTGACAGCGATATCTTTCACTAGTCAAGGCCCCAAAAGTTGTAGAAAAAACTAGGAATTAACAAGGTTACTGTAATCTATGAAATCCGCCCAAAGACGACTTAGAGAAGACTGTAGGAAACTGGGAAATTGGGGCACTAGTGGCCATGTTCAAGAGAAAAGACCGTATCAATCGCTCCAATTATCAGGACATTACTTTACTGAGTATATTAGAGTCTACGTATATATGCCAAACGGAATTTCCGCGGAATAGCCAACTCTAAGATCCAAGAAGAAAAATTTCGATTGATATCAGGCGGAAGTATTTCTGACCAAATCTTTGCCTTACGTCAAATTGTTGAGAATTCTAGAGTTCGCTGATCTGATTTAAATATGCTTTGACCAATACTAAGTTTGTGACCGGATCCCGCATAACAGTTTATTGGCAAGCCTGAGAACGTATGGGATCGACAACCAATTGTTGCTAAGGGTCATCCAATCACTGTATTCCGATAGCAGGTGCTGCGTCAGAGTAAATGTTGTTAAGTCGAAACCTCTCAACGTTGGTACTTGTCTACACCCAGGCTAAAATTCTGTGCAATCCTTCTGCTTGTGTTGCACATGGACAAAGCAGTCAGATGCAGCCAGCACGATGAGTGTGTCAGCATAGGAGATGACGAGAACAGAAGATTGCTATTTATAAACGATATTTGTATGCATCTTTAGAAGCTGACCTTCAGCTTTCAGCTGAGAATGAAGAGACCTATATGTACTTGAACATGTTCAAAAGTTAAAGCCTAGTGCGACATCGTTCTTTTGTCACAGATAAACAAAGGAGCAGCGGAGAAAGTATGAAGATTGAGAAACTGAAGTTCCTGAAGCTCGTGTTTATTGATGATGAGATGAAAAGATCGATCCGCGAATTTAAATGGTTAGCGGCATCTGACGTGAATAACCACGAATCATTGTGACTAAGGCAGAACTAAGTTTGAAGAGTAGTCTGTCCGTATTCAAGGGATTCTCACTTACACCTCACGACATGGTACAGAGTTAACATATCTGTTGGTGCATAGCTGGTGTTTTTTCAGACTGAGAAGTAAAAGGTGCGATAGCTTGAGTAAATCTTGCGAATGTTTCAACTAATGGGAGAGAAACAATTGTTGCTTATTCCACCGACTAGCCGAAGAATCCAGGGATGACCAGGAATGATATCTGGCAAGGATCTCGAAGGAACTGTGTTCTAGACTCGAGCTATCTTCTGCCGAAGGTCAAACACTCGTACAAAATCGAAATCTCTGAGGACACTGTCTGATGAGTCCGGGACCGATAAGAATAACCTGCAGCCAAAACTGACTGACTGACTGTTTATCTCCATTTTGCGATCGGGTCACAGTATGTAAGTAATTTGTATTCTTGAATGCTTTCTGATATATCATTTGTATGTTTCCACAACGAACGTGATAAAAATGCCTTAACACAACAGTTCGATTGTTAAAGAGGAGGCATCATTCATGCATGAATTAATCTCCATTAAGCAACTTACCACTAGGCTTAATTCGGTCATTCTGTATAAGTGATGGCAATGCGAAAGTAGCGATTTCTTCTGCAAACGGGAGACTGAGATAAACGAAACTCTGAAAATTACAACAGTTGTGGTGACAACGAAAGATGGCGAGAGAAGAATCAAATACGGTGTAGCCACGTTTGATCAACGGAATGAGAACGCCGATTCGTGGCGAGGATCGCACACTGTAGCAGTACCTGACAATCGCGACTTTTCCAGTTTGCTGCATGGCGTGCGCAAAGGCGGAAAACGCAGCACAGCCAGCCTAAAATTAACAGGTTCAACCAAAGAACAGCTATAACCGTAGGAAAGCGTAAACCCATCGCGCGTCGTTCTCATAAACAACTAAACTACATATAGACGACTGAGTATTTGAACGCCCTCTTCGACACGTCATTAAAAGTATCCCGAAGTAATCAGCCATTAGAAGAGTGATATAGAAAATAAGACGATTTTAGAATCAAATATAAAAATAACTCAAAAGTATAAAATTACAAAAATTTATTCACAGCCACACTTGGTATTTAAGTAACCAGTTTCTTCCAGTTCTTTTTGGACTGCAAGAAAACTCGAATTTACGAAAAACTGCAATTTTCATGCACTTTAAATGGCTTGAAACGATATCAAGGAAACTACGAACGCAGCAAATCAAAATCAGGTATGTGAACAATCCTACATTTCATGGTGATGAATCACTTCTGGAAATTAAAAAACTGGGTAATCACCCCGTTCTCTCTGCCCAAACCATACTTTTTAGGAGACTCAAGAAAACAGATTCGATCCACCTTCATCCAACTTCAGAGAAACTACAACGCAACAAAAAACAGGAAGATTTTAAAAACCTTCATTTGTTTTAGATATCCTTCTGACGAGAGATTTCCACGCATATGCAGGAAACGGCAGTCAAAAGTAATAATGCATTATCGGTAAGAATGACGATCTCAGAACGAAGTATGGGAAGTAAGGAAATTTAGCTACAACAATAGCATCCATGATGAATATTCTTTTTCTAACACCATTATGTTCATAAATACACCTGTTATCGTGGAACCGTAGGACGACTTCCACTGATCG